GTGTACATGCTCTCCCTTGAAGTTGATCACGTCGGTTACGGGCTAGCGGAATATCGCGGTTTCCTTCCGAGCTCGCTCGGTGTCTAGCTCGGATGGCCGCATTTCGGCCAGCCGACCTGAGCGCTGATTGCGCTCCTTTGTCTCGTTCGCGCACCTTGCACGCTTAGCAGCGGCATCATCTGCCTGACGTTGTTTCGCTTTTCCCCGGTTTCGGCAGCCGTCTTCTGCATCCGCGCGCGCTCATTGGCTTCCGCCCCGTGACGTCACATCCTCCTCGCCTTCGTCTTTCACAACTCACCTCCTCTCTACGCGGCGCGCTTCCCTTTCCACTGTTTTGTCCACAGACGGACGCCGTCAGCTTTTTTTGTCATGTGGGTACTGATGATTTTGCCAATATGTTTATTTTTAAATCAACTAATGCTAACGCATCAATAATGAGCACACGAACACTTTACAAACATTGCAGCACTATGACTAAAGCGCAATCAAAAACAGAATTACAGATAATTTGGAAGCTCCATGCCAAACCAAAACAAAAAAAAAAGGTAAAGCAGACACTTAAGACTACTTACGTGTAGGAATATTGCTAAACGCAGCGCATTCCTACAAGCAGCGCGTTTCACACGACTATCTGGTAGTGACAGCACGCTCCCCCACTGCGCAGGTGCGGCCAACCCCGTGGGCTCCACGACTTCCGTGACGATGCATCTGCGTTGCTGTGCTTTTCTTTGTGTTTTATTTCTGAGAAGCGTCCGCTTTGACTTTGAGCGGCACCGCCGTCTTCCGTGACGATGCATCTGCGTTGCTGTGCTTTTCTTTGTGTTTTATTTCTGAGGAGCGTCCGCTTTAACTTTGAGCGGCTCCGCCGTCTTCCGTGACGATGCATCTGCGTTGCTGTTATTTTGGCCAATGGGAATTTAACTTCCGTTTCGCTGACCATTGAGAATTCAACTTCCGTTTCGCTGCTACAGACGGTTACAGACAACGCCGGCTTCGCTCCATGGGACAGTTAATACTTTCGCATTAAATGATCCATTGGTCTATTCTTAGGGAATGCGTCAGCATGACCCTTGAGAAACGCCAATCACGTCCCCTTTTGGAAAACGATAACGCCGACCCTTTCACTTTTTTAGTTTGTCTTTCTCTCTTGCTTCCTCTATTGCGTACTGCCTCTTTTTGGCCTCGTTACGGGGTCAATGTTAGCTTTTCCTAAAAGGGGGGGCGTGTGCGGCGTTTCTCAAGAGTCATGCTAACACATTCCCAAAGAATCCACCAATGGATCTTCCTGGATGAAAGGATGGATAGATGTATGTTAATGGCTATACTTTTTTTAACAGGCGGTAGCTTGCGCCATCTAGTCTAAGTCTAAGAAAAAAAAAAGATATGATACCTTTTGCTTTCCTAAGCCAATTTTGGTGGCGATATCCACCAAAAATCAAGTTCCTCCTGGTGATATCAATACCCCCTGCAGGCAGTATGGATATCACCGTCCTGGTGATATCTCATACTGCTTGCAAGCAGTATGAGATATCACCAGGATGACCTTGGCGGATGGGACAAAAATAACCCAAAAAACACTGCCCCCGCATCTTCCCATCGGTGAGGAAGTCTCCAATTTTTCTCTGGTCAAACCTTGTCGGCGTTACCCCATAACCGGACCCACTGGGGGGCAGAGTTGATAATTTGGGCCAGAGCCACGCGGGAGGGACTCCAAATGTTCCTCTGTCCCGCCTGTTTCCAGTTGTGCTGTTAGTTGTGCATCATAAAATTTCTCCTAGAAAATTTTCCCCAGTCTTCTAATCGCCATTTTGTGATTGTAATCCTTTTCTCTGCCGTCCTTCCATCGTCGCCAGCTAAACCCAGGGCTCTAGCCAAATCTGTTACCCCTTCTGGAAGGGCAGGGCGAAGCCCCGTGCACTTGAAAACCAAGAGCTCTAGTGTCTCGCTCTGGTTATGACAGGAAGCAGATATCATGTCTGTTTCCTGGAATTTTGTCCTATTCGTCCTCGTGCTCAAAACTCCGGTTCTCTCCTCAAACATTAAAAAATTTTCCAGTCAATTGTCCAGCACATTTTCTTCTTTTATATCCTGTTCTTGTGTCATGTACATTGTTAGTGTTGATTTTTTCTGCATTCTTACCTCCCATATTATTCTTTTTGCCTCTTTCACTCACGTTTCCACAGAAGTAGTCTGCTCAGCCCCATTACTGGTGTGGATGTGTTTAAACGTAAGCTTTAGGGTTCGCTTTGTCCATTCATTTTGTGTTTACACTTTTCATGTATGGATACTTGAATACCTCCCGTGCCCACCGAGTATCATTCATTTCGGTTATCCTTTGTTCAAATTTCAACTTTCTAATTGTCTCCCTGCTCTCAAAAGACGACCAGCCCATGTCCCCTTATACTTCCTCATTTGGTGTCTTTCCATGTGCTCCCAGTGCCGATCGAGCTACGCTTCCTTATAATTATAATGCAATTAAATGCAAAGGTGCAAGCGAGCTAGGCAAGAATGACGAAAATAATCCCTGGAGAAGGGGAACAAGAGGGACAATGGACAGACATAAATCTCCAAACACAGTTAGATGACTGGTGAGTGACCGAAAAAATCCGCCTGGTCCGGGTATCGAACCCGGGACCTCTCAATTACAGGTGGAGCGCTCTACCAACTGTTTGGAGATTTATGTTTGTCCTTGTCCCTCTTGTTCCCCTTTTCCAGGGATTATTTTCGTCATTCTTGTACAGCTCGCTTGCACCTTTGCATTTAATTGCATTATAATTATAACCTTAAATTTGCAAGCTTCACCCTTGTTGGTGTTAGACTGGTGGCAGCTGATAAAACCCGTTTGCTCTACTGACGTCTATCCCCTCGTAAGCTCAGTTGGTAGAGCGCTCCACCTGTAATGGAGAAGTCCCGGGTTCGATACCCGGACCAGGCGGATTTTTTCGGTCACTCACCAGTCACCTAGCTGTGTTTGGAGATTTATGTTTGTCCTTTGTCCCTCTTGTTCCCCTTCTCCAGGGATTATTTTTGTTACGCTTCCTTGTCGAATTTATAATTCTGAATTAACCTTTGAATTCATACACAATACCCCATTGCCAAAAGACAGTCCTTGTACCGTCATTCCTCTCCGTATTCTTCGGACCACTTCATATCTGTCATAATTCCATGTTGTCTTGACCTTCATAATAGATTAATTTATTTTCTCTTCTCTAACTATATTCTCCTCGTGTTCCTCTAGATTTTTCAAATTAGTCCTTTTGTCAGACTCCCAGATATTTGTATTTTTCTGCATGGTCTATTACAGTGCCTTGTATCCTCAGGAGTTCCCTCTATTTGTTGTTAAACACATTTACTCTAGACTTGTCACAACTAAAACTCGTGTCCTGTAAATTGTTTCACCCGTTTTCTGTGCCCTGCTTCTCAGTGCCTGTCCACGCCCTTAGAAATGGTCATACATATCACTCGGAGAAATAGCGACATCCATACCACTCGTGGAAGGACCCGCATTCATATCACTCGTGGAGGGAACCGCATCCATTGCTTTAACTACGCACACGCATCACAGCCAACGCACCGCTACTACGGAAACCCAGAGCGAAGAACAACCGGCGACGACAGAGCGGCAACTGAGCACGCCCGCAATCTACCGCGCCTCGGCACATCCTCCTCTCTGGCTCCGCGCCAGCAGTGCGCGTGACTTTGACGAAAACGAAACGGCTCGCTTTGACAAAAACCTGGTGGTGTCTGTCATGTTTGTCAGCTTTGTTAGCGCCGACGAGAGAGTGGGAGTTGACGCGTGCTGACGTCAGCGCTTCGGACCAATGGGAGCGTCCAATGTGTCCTTTCCTTTTCCCTCTCTCCCCAAAAGAAAAAGGAAAGACACCGCCGGGTCTTTGTTAAAACGAGCGTTCTAATGCTAACGCATTAAAAACAAATTTGCAGACGTCACAAATGCCTTGGCGTTCAAAGAATCGAAATGAAGAGTACGGGCGTAACATAGCAGACGACTTATGGTTTCAAGCAACGAAACGGCTGAGACAGAGTCAAAAACACACATAACAAAGCAATAATAAAAAAATGAATAACCCGATGGCTTTAACCCAAATTCCCCACAGAAAAAGACAGAAGAAAGAAAATATGAAAAAAAACAAACAGAAAATACGCACCGGCGCAGCGACGTCTGAACAAAAAAAAAAAAAAAAAAAAAAAAGAAGCAATGGAGAATTAGAAAGGCAACTTTAGCAGCGAAACCGTCCTCCGAATGCTGGAGTGCTGTCATTTATCGTGAGCACAGGAAGTTAGCCATCGACTGAATGTGTGATTGTATTATTGCAAACGAGTTTAATTTTTATTTGCGCTAGAACACTATTTTTATTTTTCGCATTAGTAAGAAGTGGCAGGTTTTGTTTTAAACTCAGTTTTTGTCAATTAAGTGTACGTTTATATTCCTTTGGGTAATGACCTCAGATCGTATATGCACAACCTTTTCCACGCTGCAAATTGACATTATGGAGGGGAATATATTGTGATCGGTTTTCTGCTGCATTTTATTTTTATAGTTGGCAATGCTGTCGGCAGGTTTAGCCTTTAAGAAAAGAAAAAAAAATAAAGACAGCGAGAATATAGATTCGTGTTTCGAACGCCTTACATAAACTGCGACATGAAAATGTCTTCTTGGCTAAAAAGACAAAACTGAGTCTTAAAAATCAATAAAAATATTTTTCACAAAAAAAAACAAAAAAAAACACATCCTTCACTTATGAAATGGTAAAATGTTTTTAACAATCAAATTGAAAAATAAACAAACAAACAAAAGTCGCGATGCTTTATCGTTGGCTACTTCGTGCGGAGATAGACAAGGTCAATAATTCCGAGGAGTTCGTCTGCAAGCGGAGACTCCAGGCCCACCAGGGGCGCTGCGATCAGTTTTTGCCCGTGCGTCGCGGGAGTTTCCAGTATTAATCTACAATGGATTTGATATCATGACGAAGCGCACTCACACTGCACCCTGAGCTGCAGGAGGTTGCTGAGCGCGGCGCCCCTGGTGTTCCGCACGTGGCAGCAGTAGGTGCCGCTGAACTTGGCCGTCACGTTGCGGAGCACGAGGTACTGCTCGTGCACGAGGAGGCCCTGGTGGGTGGTGCCGTTGCCCTCCAGGGGCTCCCCGTCCAGAGTCCAGGAGACGTCGTTGACCCAGGGGTTGGCTCGCACCCCGCACTCCAGGTACACGTCCTGGCCCTCGTGGATGCGCTCCTGCCGCAGGCCCTGCCCCAGCCGGAGTGTGGCACGAGGAGCGTCTGCAGGCAGGGGACAAAGGATTCATTCATTCATGTGTCATATTTCTGCATTGGTGTGTATATATATACTGTTTGTTATTTATTTACTTATTTACGTACTTATTTAATAATGTTAATATTTATTTATTCACTTACGCAGTTGTTCAGGCAGACTACACTTTAACGGAAGTGATGTTGGCATGTGTGTTGCCGTAGCCGTACTACGCCGACGGAAGAGACACAGAAAGGATGTCATCCGATAGAATTTAGCATAATTACCTGTTGCCAAAGTAAGCGGGACGCCACTTGGTTCAGCTGGACGCATGTTTGGTGCCGCTGCACTCTAAGAAATGCCTGCGCGTCTACTTACCCGCAAAGCACTCGAAGAGCCTATCTCTGCGATCTACGAGATCAGCTCATCCATAGATAAATGCGGAAGAACTGTTTAGACCTCGAAATTAAGGGATGTGGCATGACGCAACGCATTCATGATGATTTGCATTGCGTAATGCCACAGGACAGACTTCAATTTTAGGTCTAAAGAGATGTTCCGCCTCATAATTCGCTCAGCTGATTTCGTAGATCGCAGAGATTGACTCTTCGAGTGTTTTGCGGGTAAGTAGACGCGCAGGCATTTCTTAGAGTGTGGGTCGCGTGACTGATGCCACTACGGGTCAAGTGATCACGTGACCTCATGACGTGCACCAAATAACGTGACGTCAGAGTGTTTCGCGACTCGCAGTGTGAAGTCACATGATGTCATGATGTCGCGTGACTCACGGTGCGAAGTCGACGTGTCACGTGACGTCAAGGAGTCGGCAACGTTATCGGATCTTGTAACGTTGACTGTCGAGCCCTGGTGTAGCGTCTCCGCACCTCGCCTGACCACGTCGCGTGACGCCAGGTCACGGGACACAAGGGTGTCACGTGATCTGGCCTTTACGCGACGCCACAACTTGATACTTTGACATCACGTGACCTTACGTCACTTGCGCCGGCAGTTACAATGACGCGGTTCTTCGCTATCGGAAACTATACTCGTAAATAGATAAAAATTAAGCAAAATAGTGCACGTGTAGTCGTCTGCGCCGAGGCCAAACTTGCATATGTATGTATATCTTGAATGCATTTTCCATACGGGACCATTGGGTGGTAGATCAAAGGAACACCAACACAGTGAGTCCGTCTTCGACGTGTTTATTGACTGATATGCCAACACGCTTCGCTCTTAGAAAAGAAAAGTCTGAGCTCTCGCTTAATTGCCAGTATCACCCGGTCGGTTTCCCGCGCTGCCGCATTAAACAGATTCACGGGAAGTTGGAGGCCCACATGGAAAAACCGAGCTCCGTAGAGCCAGGGCCTCCGCCGACGAGAGCCCCTGGCCCTCCTTCGGGGCCAGCTTATGTAGCCTCAGAGAATGGACGCGCCCGGAGGGGCCGCTAGCAGTCGCGTCCGTTATAACTCTCAAGGGTGCGCCGGTGGCACATTCACCCAAAGTGGGCAAGGGAGCGCCGGCCCCCTCGGGGAATTCGGTCTCGGTTCTTTGTATCCGGGAGGCCGACGCCATTGGTGACAACGACTCCCACGGCCTGCTCGAAGCTAGGCCTGGATAGGGATATAAAGAACCCCATGGTTCTCACAGGCTTCCGATGCAAAATTGGGTGTTAGTCGACCTCAGCAAATTTACTAGTTTAACAGGTTCATCCGCAATTGGTTTGTCGCAATAGTGAAATCTTAAATTACTTTTTGACGTGCAGTGGTTTCCAGTGATCTGAAAGATTCAATTTGATAATGGAGTATACTCAGGATGCAATAGAAAAGGGGAGAAGTTATTTCTTATTTTACGCTCACGTCCTTTATTAAAATCACCTCTTTTTAGAGTGCTAAGAAAGGTCACAGTGCATTTGGCTTTACTATTTATTTATTTATTTACCTTTAAAGGGCCCATGGAACATCACATAGAGGGAACTATCATATAAAACATATATAGCAGGGGTGGCCAAGCTGCGGCTCGCGAGCCGCATGCGGCTCTTCGCGTGTTAATGTGCGGCTCGCGGCTCCCTCCCCTTCACCCCCCCCCCCCCCTCCCCCCTCCCCCCGCCACCCTCCCGGTCACCACGAGCACTTCCCCAAAAAGAGAAATGGAACTCGTCTGAAATTGAAAGATAGGTAGCGGTTTGGCAGTTTTGAGCTACGGCTTGCTACCTTACGTACATTTGGACTGCTTTTGACTCGGACAGATTGAAAGTAGTTAGTTTCGTTTATTGCTCTAAACAAAAGTTTGACCCCCCCCCCCCCCCCCCCCCCCGCCCCGCAGCTCTTAGAAGTTTTGTGGTTTTGATTGCGGCTCTCAGGCCGGGTCAGCCTGGCCACCCCTGATATATAGAATCGAACAATTAATATCAGTATAAAAGGAAGGAAACATCGAACAATTGAATGATACCAATACAAGTATAAATGACGAATCCAAAACGAAAAATTTTCATCACCAACAAAAAAAAAAGAGTTTTAATTGTAAGGTAAGCTAAATTGCTAGAAAAGAAAACGTTACCAACATTTTACCATGATTTCCAAGTGACCTGACCAAGAAAAGAAAAATAGCCTGGCGTCCATCACATCTGGGTTGGTCAATTTAATTTATTCTGCAGAGCGAAAATTAAAAGTAGTTCTTCGGGTTTTTTTCTTTTTTTTTTCAATGATACTTATAATTTTTATCTACATCATCTATATGAACTTAGGCTTTGAAAACGTTTAGCCTGTTTTTAAACTTTTTGTTTATTTAGAGTGTACACTAAAGTACCGAAGCACTGTACATCGGAGGAGTGAGTATAAAATGGAGCACTTTGAAGGCCTTCCGTTGTCTGCAGCCCTAGCAACGCTGCAACGTAGATTGTCGGAATTTATTTTTGTCTCAGGTTTCGCGTACTCATCTTTCTTCACGATAGAATAATATTTCAACTGAGCCGATTGCCTTATCGACCAACACACTGTTTACAAACAAACCCGTGTTTGCCCACCGGGTGAGGGCACTGCGCACGCGCAGAAACCAGATTCGCCCGAGGCGAAGCATCTGCGCATGCGCAATGCCGACAGCAGCACCACCGCATCGGCGTGACGTCGGAGAGTTGAGTTGGTCTATAGACGCTTTAAACACGCGTCAAATTCAGCAGCCGACCTTCTCTTGTCTTACCGAGATGCCGAGCCACTGAAGCGGGCGTTGACGAGTCTCCACAAAGGCCTATGCTGGGGAGAAAAACGAAGTAGCGCCTGATGTGGCAATAACCTGTCCTGCTGCGGCAATGATGAAGTGAAGCGAACGGAATAAGAGGGAACAAAGACTGAAGGTCGGTAATGGCGGCGCCCATGCACAGTTGCCTGAAAGCGTCTATAGATGAGCACTTATACCCTGTTTCATACTTAGCGTACAACGCTGTCAGAGCTGCCTGCACGAGGCATGGGGCTTGATCTCGCGGATCATTGAACTCGTTCTCGAGCACACGAAACCATAGATGAAGCCACGCGCTTGCGCCAGTAGTTTTGACAGTGTTGTATAGTAAATACGAAACGAAGTAGAGTTACCTGATCCTCTAAAGAGCTCTTAGCAGGAAATATATTTTGTTTAAGATTCGTTCAAGATGAGAACTGCAAAACGTGATTCTCGCACAAAACCAACGCTGCACTCAATGTCTAATGCCCCTAAAAGGAGCTACGCTGCTGTGGTCGCCAATCATCAAAAAAGAGGTTCCCGGACATTTCATCGAACGCCGTTTCGTCGAACACCGTTTCATCGAAAAAATGGACGTTTCATCGAACGCCGTTTCATCGAAAGCCGTTTCATCGATTCGCTGACGGCCGTTTCATCGAATGTCTTTTATATAAAAAATGTGAAAGATGCTCTTTTATGCATGGATCGAGTGCATTTTCGTGTCATTCTCCCATTTCATCTTCAGGTTTTTTGATGTCTAAGCGTGTAGCTGTTGCAATTTATTTTGATGCAAATAACCCATGAGGATATTTGTACCGATTTTTATGTTTGTTTCGCATATTATGCTTATCTGTTCACCCCTTCTGTATTACTCGATGAGCCTTGAGGGTGTTGTAACAAAGGGTAAAAAGTCGCAGTCCCGGTAAGAGCGCACTCCAACTCATGGAGGCCAGAAGGCGACTTAGGTTTTGTGCAGGCGCAACAACTTAAGCCATGTGAGCCTCCTAGCCTCTCATGTCTTGCTATTGATACTTTTTTACTGCCCGAAGCTTGCAGTAGCTAAAGCTGAAGTGCTATTTATGAAACTACAACGGAACATTTTTTTTTTGTTAGTTTTAAGATTCAGTGAAGTCAAAAATAAGTACGTCACTTCAAATTTTATTTTAAAACTTTAAGGGGGTCATGTGTTCGTGTGACAGCCATTTACCGTTTCAAATGATGAGCAATTGCTCTCAAAAAGTCCCCCACAGCCATGCTCCGTCGGTTCTCATAAAAAAGGCGGACCTTCTCATTTCTTGCCGCTATGGCCTTCTTCTGGCGACGAGGCTCTTGGGAACTCAGCATCGCGTCCAGCTTGTCTTCCGTCAGTTGATGTTCTGCGGCGATGCAAGCCAAAAACTTCCAGAACCCCGGATGGGCACCTCCGACCTGCTTCAGGAAGCGGGAATGCCATTCTGGCGTTAGATAAGACAGCGTTCGATAAAACGGCATTCGATGAAACGGCTTCGATGAAACGGTGTTCGATGAAACGGCGTTCGATGAAACGGCATTCGATGAAACGGCTTCGATGAAACGGCGTTCGACGAAACGGCGTTCGATGAAATGTCCGGTCCCACAAAAAAGAGACCTGTCAAACACGTCTATCATTCAAAAAACGTTAGAACAAGACAAAAAATAGCGTTTACGTTGAGTGCCCTAGCGACGGAATGTATCTCCGCAAGTCCACGGCAGAGCCTTCCCCGTTGTTTTTACGCTATACCAGGTTACAGGAAGATTAATCCCTGATCAATTCTCGTTTCGGAGCAGTGAGCTGATA